TATATATATATATATATATATATATATATATATATATATGAAATATTCTATTAGAAAACCATCCCATGACAATGGTCATGTAGAGAGGAATGTTAAGAAAATAGAGAATGTTCTAAGTGTGGTTTTACCTCAATAATTGCAGCAAGAGTTGGGGCCACAATGTGTTATTTGCTGTGAATGTCTATCAACCAAATCTATGAAGCCAAGCAAACTGAAGTGCTTTTTTGATAGCAGCATTTGTGCTTTACTGGCAAGGGCATTGACTACTTAGAAACAACACTGATGAACTCAAGAAAGCCAAACTTGAAAGCACCCAGAGGCGTGCTTCCACCATGCAGCAGTGGATACAGAAGATTTCCAGAGACAGGCCTGTTGGTGCCACTGCAGGGCAAGTGTGTGCTAGAGAGGTGGAGAGGAAGAGGAGCAGAGCGGTTTGCATATGAAGAGAGGAACTGGAAACTTGAAGGTGGTAGGGAACAGCCTGATGTGAGGAGTCTGAGATGCCACCTGAGGCCATAGTGAGATCCCGGCCCCTGCTGCCACTGAGAGCCACGTCTGGGGCTGTGGCCCTGAAACAGCTATGGACCTTGATGTTTGTGGTCCATGTTACCACCAAAGGCCAGTGTACGTTCCTGGTCTGGGCTGCCTCCTGGGACCATATTAATGTCCGAGGACTTTGAAGAGCTGGCCCCTTGCCTGGGCATCCTGAGAGAACTGGCCCTGGTGGTGTGGGTGCAGGAGAGCTGACCCTGGCAGTGCTGGTGGGGCAGTGCTGGTGGGCTAAACAACTTAGCTCCCAGCCAGGCCCAGATTAGGGCTCTGAGTTGACCCACCCCAGTCTCTTCTGTCTGTGAACTGCTGGAGCCTGTGAAATGGTTGGTCCCACAGATCAGAGTTGCAGGGTCTCCATGACTCAGGGCAATGACAGGATCCAAGAGGAGTCCTGTGAGGATCCAGTGTTGACGGTGTAGCAGAAGCCAGAGGCCTCGAACCACACCAGTGACTCACTGCAGTGAACATTTGCAAGTAAAGCTGTCTGGACAAAAGACTATACTGTGGGACACACTGTGACACACCGCAGCTTCCATGGAGAGGAGAGAATGTTTTTCTTTTGTGGGGGAGGTTGGGTGGTGGAAGACGGACATTGAGAAACAGAAGGATGGGTGGGATTGGGGTAAATGATGTGAAATCCCAGAGAATCAATGAAAAAGTTAAAGAGAAAGCCAACTTGACAGTGGTGGCAAGTACCACAAATAAGATGTAGCTGCTCTTGAAACTTCATATGTGGTGACTCAGTCACCAGGGCTGTAAAACCTCACACTGCTGAGGACTCACTGTTGCCAGTGGCCAGTGATATCACTTAGGTTATGATCAGAGGTGATTGTTACACAGTTGAGTGCAATTTCCTTGACTAACAACACTGTCCGCAGAACAACAACACATCTGCTGATATTCTTAATCAGAAGTCTAGCAAATTAAAAGTAAATTCAGTATTTAGTATCCAGCTCAATGAAGCTACAGATGTAAACTTTTCAGTTATTGGCTCAGAAGTATATTAATGATGGTGACTTTAAAGATGGGGTTTTTTTTTTTTTCAAACTTAAAACAACCACCACAACATGCAGTTGGTTCATTTCTGAAAGAGCGTAAGATCTCTTGGGGAAAGGTTTGTGGTGTTTGCACAGATGGTGGTCCAGCTATGCTAGGACATAGATCAGGATATCAACATTTGGTACCGAGTGAGACATCAAAAATCATCAGAACCCACTGATTCATCGCCAAATATTAGCCATGAAGACGCTGCCACAGGAGTTATAAGTAGTGAAGAGGGCCGGGCATGGTGGCACATGCCTTTAATCCCAGCACTCAGGAAGCAGAGGCAGATGGATCTCAGGTCGAAGCCAGCCTGATCTACAGATCATGTTCCAGGACAGCCAGGGCTACACAGAGAAACCCTGTTTCAAAAACAAAACCAACAACAAAAAGTAATGAAAAACAACATAAGTTCTGTCGGTTTTGTAAAGGTGAACACTTCATACTGAAATGAAATGGTTGTAAAGAGGAAAAGTTTTAAAATGAATTTTTGAACTTCATGATAAACTCAAAATGTTCTTAGTCAGAAAGCAGGGCTGCAGTTCTAAGCATAAAAGTGAGTTGCAGACAGTAGCTTACTTGGTTGCCATCTTTGTCATCTTGAGTGAGTTACATTTATCACTGCAAGGACCAAATACGACATGCTGCGATTTGTCTGAAAGGATCCGATTATTCCAAATGAAACTTCAGCTTCGGAAAAAAAAAAAGGATGAAAATAAATTATGTGCTGCCTACCTTATCTGCTTTCTTTGAGGAGCATGACATTGAACCGGACAAAAGAATTACAGAGATAGTTTCTGTGTGAGAACATTTGCATGTGCTTGCAGACAAGACATCTCACTGTGTTTCCAAGTCTACATGACAGCCTGTTTGCACTTGCCAGAAGCCCATGCATTCACAGTCACAGTTGAGGCTGCTCCTCAGGGTGCACAAGAGTTCACTGAAGAGCTCATGAACAGCAGTGAGAGCTGACCCCTCCACAGCGCCCCAGCTACAAAACTCTGGGTCAAGTGTTTGCAGCAATACCCAGCTGTACTCCTCAATTTTTTAAACCCTGTTTGTAATAATGCTTCTCAAATGCTTTAAAGTCCCTTCTAGCCCACCATCCACTAGAGGTAGTGGAAAAGAAAGGTTATTAGGATACAGGGGCATGGACCTGTTTAGCAATTTTTTTGGAGCAAATCTCATCTGCGTCAAGAAATCAGTAGTTCAGTTCATAGGAATCATCAGTAGCGACTCGTCCACTGGCAAACACTTCTGAGTACACCAGCTGTCTGGTCTGGTAGTGTCGGGATAGCAAACATGAATCAGCAGCGGTGGCATGACCCGAGCAGAGATTTGTGCTCTTGCTAAGGCTGCCCCGAGAATTTCTGATGTGGTGAGAAGCGGCAGTCTCAGCCTTTGCATTGAAGTTTCTTTTTACTGGTACTGTCATAAAATGTAACCATGTAGTTTACTGTTGTTATATTAAGATTGTTACTAGCTGGCCAGTGGTGGCACACGCCTTTAACCCCAGCACTTGGGAGGCAGAGGCAGGCGGATTTCTGAGTTCAAGGCCATCCTGGCCTATGGAGTGAGTTCCAGGACAGCCAGGGCTACACAGAGAAACCCTGTCTCAAAAAAACCACCCCCCCCCAAAAAAAGTAAATATTTCACAATATGTAATTACATAAATTTGTGACTAACCACTATGCTTTAATTATGTTTGGTTTGTAACAATGAAAATACATCCTGCATATCAGATATTATGATTTATAACAGTGGCAAAGTTATAGTTATGAAGTAGCAACAAAAATAATGTTATGGTTGGAGTCCTCACAACATGAGGAAGTGTAGCAAAGGGTCCCAGCTGTAGGAAAGTTGAGAACACTGCAGTACTTACCAGCCTGCATGTGGGGGTGACGAGAGACACGAGGAGAGAGACAGACAGGCAGACAGGAGTGCCAGGCTGCAGTGGACAGATGGTTTATGGCCTGAGCTCCTATTTCATTGCTTTTCTTTTTCCATGCTTTTTTTAAGAGAAGGAACGGGAACTTTGTATTCGAGAGAGACTTGCAGAGGACAAGCTGGCTAGAGCCGAGAGTCTGCTGAAGAACTACAGGCTGCTGAAGGACGAGCACAGGCTCCTGGCTGCGGCCGGTGGCCCAGGTATGCAGTCAGCGGCACTCACTGCCTCACATGGCGATGTCCCCCTAGTGTGGCCCCCAGATCTCAGGGTGACACCATTGAGTCTGTACTCCCGAGTGGACTAAGGCCCTGTGGGTGCAGCGACTGAGGCCCTGGGCGAGAGACCTGATAGGAGTTGTGACTCCATTTCAGCTTCCTCAGTGTACCAAAGACACGGAGATACTTAAGTATTTCATTTTTGAAATGGAAACACTTTGAAAACTATACATTTCAAATTTTTCTCAGGTATTGTGTTCGTTGGCTATTGTGGTTTGAATAGTTACGGCTCCCATAGACTCGTGTTTGAATGTTTGGCCTAGAGAGAGTAGCACGATTAGGAGGTGTGGCCTTGTGGGAGGAAGTGTGTCACTGGGGGACAGATTTTGAGGTCTCCTGTGCCCAGTGTGGAGGACAGTCCCTCCTTTCTACCTATAGATCAAGATAGAGAACTCTGGGCTCCTTCTCCAGCACCATGTCTGCCTGCACGCTGCCATGCCTCCCGCCATGATGATAATGGACTAAATTCTGCCTGCAAGCCAGCCCAATGACATGTCCTTTATAAGAGTGCCTTTGTCACACTGTCTCTTCCCAGCAATGAAACCCTAAGACAGTTACGTTACCAAAACTATATTTTCAAGCAAAAATCCTGGTATTTTAAAACTGCCACACTTCAGTCAGTAGAAAACCTGACTTAGAAGGCATGGTGGTATAAGTCTTTGATCCCAGCACTTGAAAGACTGAGGCAGGAGAATTGCTGTGAGTTTGAGACTAGTCTATTGGACATAATGAGTTCAAGACAGTCCAAAAGAAAAGGGACGGGCAGTTGACTGGAGAGAGAGCACGCCAGCTAAGAGCACACGCTTCTTGTCTTAGTCACTGCTCTAGGGCTGTGAGGATACACCATGACCCTGTGATTCTTACGAGAGACAGCATGTACCTGGGGCAGGCTCACAGTTTCAGAGGTCCAGTCCATGACCATCGTGGTGGAGAACATGGCGGCAGGCGTGGCGCTGGTGAGGTAGCTGAGGGCTACTTCTTCATCTGCTGGGATTTCCTCCAACAAGGCCGTACCTCCTAATCCTTTTCAATTTGTGCCAGTCCCTGATGACTAAGGATTCAAATATATGAGCCTCTGAGGGCGTTATTTAAACCACCACACTGTGCTTCCTGGGGACAAGCAGCTGTATTGGAGTTAGAAGTTAAAGTTGAATTATAATTACTGGGTGTAAATGTAAAATCATGTACTATAAAATCATCAACTACTGATATATACACGCACACATGAACGGATGCTGGTCAGTCCTTTTTAATCAGCTGTGGCTGATGTCAATACTGGCCCCCTTGTGATAGTCACAGCAAGTGTGGGTTTGGTTCCTAGCATGCATGTACAGCCCTCCTGCCTGGAACTCCAGCTCCAAGGGAGTCCTTGGCCACTTGTCCTAGAGAGCATCTCACAGGTATCAGCTGATAGGTCAGCTCTTTGATCTGTGTGATATAATTGATCTTAGGTAACTCAGATCCTTTTCCTTTTCTTTCTAAAGAACTTGATCTTCCATCCTCAGTCATGAAGAAGAAAGTTCATTTCCATGGGGAAAGCAAAGAGAACACCGCACGGAGTGAGGACTCCGAGAGCCAGGTCGCCAAGTCCAAGTGCAAGGACCTGAAGAAGAGGCTTCACGCTGCCCAGCTACGGGCTCAGGCCCTGTCTGATATTGAAAAAAACTACCAGCTAAAGAGCAGGCAGATCTTGGGCATGCGCTAGGCCGCCACGGCGTGGAGCTGGGTCAGTATTGATACTGACAACCCACCAGAGATTGGTCCTCAGCTGCTGTAGTTTTGTGTGTCTGAACCTTTGTGTGTGGTGAGCGTGGCACTGGGATTGTTTGTGGTCTACAGGATGGACATGTCCTCTTCCTAATATCCCTGTGTAGAAAGCATGCTGGCTTTGCTGGTTGGTTGGGCTTTTGATCCTGTGTGCGATTACTACTTGGAATATGAGACGGTGCTCTATAGATACTATAGATCTTAGGAGAAAATAATGTTAGGGAAAGAATACTTCACCTGAAGGACTCACTGAGAAGTTCACACGACTGAGCGATGCTGCCTTCACTGCCGTTTCCAGGGGAGGTTTCAGCGGGTGTGTGACCTCACTGTAAGGGAGATGGCAGGGCTTCGGGTCTTGACTCTCCCACAGAGTTGCATGTCAGAGGCACAGTGAGAGCTTATTTAGTGTGTGATGTTACAGGGAAGACCCAGCCACTGGCCTGACAGCCCCACTCAGAAGCATTCTGGGTCTAAGTTGCTCGTTGTGCTAGTTAACTAAAGACTAGACTTGGGACAGAAAGTATAAGGCTGCAGCTTTTACCTAAGCACGTGATTTACCTTAGGGTAACTCATGCCAGCACAACACCTAGGCTATGCCAGGCTGACTGACACAGGGCAAATGTCATTAGCAGTGTCCCTCAGCACGATGCTGTCCTGCAATACAGGCAGGCACTGGGGACAAGAGGCTGCTGGGAGCCCTGAGAGCTCCCTCTCCTGCTGTGTGCAGGGCCTGTCTCCGTCTGTCAGTTCATGACATTAGTTAAGTGCTGTCTGTGCCCTCAACTATGAACGGTCCAAAATATCAGAGTCTATATATTTTAAATCACACATGTGGTCTCCAAACATTTAATGTTGGAGAACTGTCTTCAGAAAGTTGGTCTATTTAAGGCTACTGGGGGAAAAGCAGGTCTCCTTTGCTATCTGTCCACAGTCCCTTGAGACGGCTTCAGAAAAGAACAGTGTGCAGTATATGTTATTGATAGCCTTCACCTGAGTGAGGGCCAGATAGCTCTTGTCTACAGACTCCTGAAGACCTCTGCAGAAAGGGGTCCATTTGTCTAAATAAGTGCTGCTGGCTGAGACGGAAGGTCAGAAGCATTTTAATGCTGTTTGTTTCATGGCTAAATCCACAGGCTCCTTGCGTTTTAAAACTCAGTGTGCTTTCCTTTCTGGAGCTGTGACAGCTTGCTTGGGTGGGTAACTTGCTGAGGTTGACTTTTGAAATGCTTCAGGGTAAACTGCTGTTGGCACTTGCAGCTGTAGACGCTGTACGAGGGAGGGATTGCTCACTGTGACAGCACCTGGGACCCCTTGCAGCTGCAGATGCAATCCCTGGGATCTCTTGCAACTTTGACTTGCAGTAGCAGCTTGGAATGTTAAAGTGTGGTGAGCATCTTCTCTGCTGTGAGGGGCCTGACAGTCTACCAGGTGGGAAATCTTGTTAAAAACCGGGAACTCAGTGCAGTGGTTTTCCTGCTTCTTCTTTCTCCTTTGGTCTATAATGATATTGGCATAGCAACACAGAGTAAAATCCATATATAAATAATTCTAAGTATGAGCTTTTAAATGTTCTTGAACTGTAGAAAAACTTAATTGGATACAATTGTTTATAATTAACAGGTCATCTTATTTATAAATTTTCAATATAATATAAATCTATTTTGTGGAAATTTATCACTGTGATGCTTGCATTCTGTGTGTGCATGTGTGTACACATTCATGTGTGTGCAGGTGCACGTAGCACCTCGAGGGCACACTTGGGTGTCACTGTTCAGGAACTGTCCACCTTGATGTTTGAAAAGGAGTCTTCCTGGCATGGGCCACGACAATTTGCCAAGCTTGCTGTCTGCAAGTCCCGGGGTTCTCCCGAACGCTGACATTACAAGCACATCTTACTGCATCGAACTTTATGTGGTTCTGGGCCTGAATTCAGTGCTTGCACAGCAAGTACCTTTCTGACTGAGTTGTGTCCTTAGCCCATGATATCATTTGTTTTTATTCTGGATGTCATTTGTGTCCCATTTTTCCATGCTGTAAAACTTTCATTATTCTACAGTTTCATTATTCATTCCGCTGTAGACTGTAGTGGAACTCACTCTCTCATTGATCCTGAGGGCTAGCGCTGCAGAGCCGATAGTCTGCTCCACAGGGCATACTGGGCAGTGTTTAGAAACATTCCTTGTTTTGTTTTGTTTTGTTGGTTTTTCGAGACAGGGTTTCTCTGTGTAGTCCTGGCTGTCCTGGAACTCACTCTGTAGATCAGGCTAGCCTTGAACTCAGAAATCCACCTGCCTCTGCCTCCCAAGTGCTGGGATTAAAGGCGTGCACCAGCACCACCACCCGGCTTTGTTTCAAGACAGGGTTTCCCTATGTAGCCCTGGCTGTCTTGGTTCTCAATCTGTAGACCAGGCTGGCCTCAAAGTCAGAGATCTGCCTGCTTCTGCCTCCTGAGTTTTGGGATTAAGGCATGAGCTACCACCACCCAGTTGTTTGGAAATAATTTTGAAAGTCCCATAGATAGTGTCCAGTGATGCTGCTGACTGAGTAGGCGCACTCTCAGGAGGGCCGGAGTATACCGCCACCCTCACAGAGAACTTACTTTACACTTTGATGTGTTTAGTGTGTGTGCATGTATAGACACATGCCTGTGTGTGTCAGAGTTGGTGTTGTGTTTCTCGATCTCCACTTTGTTCATACAGAGTCCTCCCTGAACCCAGAGCTCACTGCTGGCTGCTGGCCTCTGAGTCGGCTTGCCACAGCGACCATGTGATTGGTGCAGCTGCCGTAACTTCCCGGCTTTTACATGCATTCTGGGATCTCAGCTCTGGCCCTCGGCTACCTCCTAGTCCAGAATTTTAAAGTCATGTCTAATTTGAGCATGAGGAACTTTCTCCATCATATTTTTTATGTAACATTTCCCTGATATTGCTAACTGAGTATAATAGAAACCAAGCTGTGGAAGGTTCAGAAATAACCCCTTCAGGTATACAGACTTAGCACACTGCTGATAACATAGCTCTCAGACAGAAAATGACACAGCCAAACGCAGAGATTTTTTCCAGCAGCCTGTTCTGATGTAGACTCTGTTGAGTCTAGCAGCAACAGCATCTGCGAGGCTCAGTCTGAGAGGACTGTGCGGGACTCTTGTTCAAGAAGAGGCGGGGAAGTACTTTCTCTACAGCCTCCCTGATCTGAGTTACTTGCTATTGAATGTTCTAAGAAACACTGGGGCACTGTTAGCACGCGAGTTGTCTTCATTCTGGACAATGACAGCTCACGCTGGCTCATCCCTGGAGAGTGCCTCAAGCTGTGCACTCAACTTTCGAGTGTGTGTGTGTGTGTGTGTGTGTATGTGTGTGTGTGTGTGTGTGTGTGGACAGCTGGGGGGCCTGTGACATATTCTTCCTTCACCAGCCCTGTACAGTGCAATGAGTCTAGCCCAGCACCCTGCTTCCTTAGGTCTGTTGCTCAAACCAAGGCGGTTGGCCTCCCCCAGGAGTGTTAGCCCTTCTAGGCTGGACATCTTTTGCCAGGACACCCACCCTCCATTAGGTCTCTCACCTGGCAGGCAACACATGGATCGTGACCCACCCTGTACTGAGCTGCCTAACATTGGCCCCTTCACAGCTGTATCCAGGCTTCTGCTGAGGGTCCTATTAAGAAGTTAGAAACAGAGTAGTCAGTAGTCTCAATCACCCATAAATAAAACTAGACCTTAAGAAATAAAAGTCTGGAGCCAGCTAGATGTGGCTATCTCAGACCCTACTTAACTTTGATTGATTCACTCAGTCAATGGACAAGTCATTGAGGGCCTACCATGTTGAAACGCTCACACTAACCCATTACTGTGGAGAGAACCCAAATTCTCCGGCACTAGATCTGCGGAGTTAGGCAACCAGGAGAGTCGGCCGTAAGTGCTAGGGAGCAGAATAAAGCTGATTAAAAGAGCAAGGAAAAGAGCTGGAGTTGTGCGTGCACACCTTTGGGAAAAGGGGACACTGGGGTTCCACAGGAAGAGCATGGGGTGGGGAGACGCAGTGGGATGGGCTGTGCGGGCAGAGCAGGAGGAAGGGGGCTTGCAGGGCAGTGAGAAGAGGGTCCTTGAAAGCTTGGAGACACATAGCCGACTTTGCATCCTGCCACTGAGAAGCTGACGCAAGCCAGTTCGGTCCATCTGGACCAGAGAGGAAGCTCTTGGAAGGAAGGGGCTGCTTGCTCCCTCCCCTTCTAAGGCATTAGGGTTTCAACAGGCTCACCAGCGGCTCAGCAATGGCAGAAGGTGGCCTCACGGTGGCGCCAAGGTGCCACGAGCCCAGCAGCCGGGAGGCGCGGGCCCCGGCTGAGCGCTGGTCTGAGTTACACCCCTGTGAAGAGGTGCCAGAGAAAATGAGGCGCACAGTCCCAGGTGAGCAGCACAGTCTCCCAAGTCACTGGCTTGGTGGAGGACCAGACTCACGCAGGAAGGAGGCCCTGCCCGCTCCCCTGCCTCTGAGCACAACAGCCTGTTTCCTACATTGGGTGTTGAAGTTAAAGCAGTGCTCAATTCAAAAGGTCAAGAGATGTTTATTCTGGAGCCAAAAATGAGTGACTGTGGCCCAGGTACACAGATTCCGTTTACCCCAAATACCATCTTCCAGCATGGTAAGTTTTTCATGGAGTTTTTATAGTAATAAAAGAAAGTCAGCTGGACTGCCATGGCAGAGGAACCCTTGCTATAGCCCTCAGATCCCTTGTGAGTATCTCAGTGTTGGGGCTGGGAGAAACTAGGGCTGTTCACACCAATAGGTCCCACATGGAAGCCAGCAACATGTGGCTGTTTACCGGGTTAAAATGGCCCAAGATCATTTTGCTCTGGACCTGCAACATTCCAACTCTCCATAATCAGCCCGGTAGCTGATTATCACAGTGACTTCTTTCCAGAATTTAGCGGGGGGAGGAGGGTTAAGGTAAATGCCTTCCCTGAGCATAGACCATGCTGTGGGTCCAGCCCTGTGGAGGATACTTAGAATTTAAGGTTATCTGTGGCTACATAGCCAGTTTGAAGCCAGCCTGGGCTACATGAGACCCTACTTCAGAAAAAACTCGAAAGATGTGCCCTTCCTCCAGCCTTGAGCAGGCCCGAGACCTTGCTTACCACAAGAGACCAGATAATAGGACCTAGGTGGAACTAACCGCCTTGGCTGCATATCAATAGACACC